CAGAACATACCTGGGGTAATGAAGAACAGGTACATCTTGGCTCTTTGTATTCACATACCGCCTCTAGTGCATTTGGAAAGTAAGTGCTGGTAAATGTCTCAAGATTAATTTCTCATCTCTCGCTAACTTGGACACAGTACAGAATAAAAAAAATAAAATAAAACAGAATGGCAAGCATTTAGAAATAATCCCACTAACTTTGAGCATAGTACTTTAAGTTAATTCTTAAAATTATCACCCATATCCCAAAAATGTAACACTGTCTAAGACTTGAAAAAGACAATCTAAAACAAAACGTTATTCAATAAAAATTTCAGGAATGGTGTCCTGACAGTTTAAAGATTCTCCTTATTTCTGAAAAATGCATTTCAACATAATTTGTTTAATCAAATATTCTTCAGTTTAAAGAAGGACGGACAATCGTGTGATGCTATCAAGAATATTTCAGAAACAGCTGCAGAAGTATTTTCAGCCACACCATGCAAACTACAGTGTCATTAGTGTCCGCAGAAACCTTGTACCTTCAATTTGATACTCTATATTACTGAAAAGTTATACAAGAATCAGCTTGTGTATGAGATTTTCCCCTAATAAAGTGTTGAATGTTAAAGAAAATAATGCACCCAAAAATTTAACATTTTAGTAGTGTATTATATCAACACGCAGTTCTACTGTATTTCTTTATGGAAAACAATCGACAAAAATTTCCTTGTATTCATGTTATTGGTTATTAATTAAGTAGGCTCTCCATGTAATTGCTTAGATAATTAGGTAATGAAATAAATACTTGACACTTGGAACAGAGTTTCTTCTGGCTTTAGAACTGTTGGTGTAAACTGGTTTGTCATTTTAAGAACTCTAAAGTACAGAGGCTGAAAAATGTACTCTTATTTAGATTTAGAGGGTGAGAATGTATGACTATACAATGTCATTTTTGTGTTAACTATTCTTTTATGAAGAAAGTGAACATCAGTGGATAAGTGATCAGGCAGCTTCTCAAACAATTCTCTGGGAACAAGGTTTATGAAGGACAAATGTAGGAAATTCAAACAAAGAAATAAATTGTAGTTTTTGAATCTTATCCAGAGAAGTTTGTGTAACAAATATAATTGAAAGAAACATACTCCGTTCTACCTCTGCAAGAGGACTTCAATGGGGGGAAAAAAGTTAATTTAATAATCACATATTCCAAAATATAATTAGCTTTAGGACTGTGAGCACCTGTAACCACAGCACAGATCTTAACACCTTCTTTCATGTAAACTTGGTAGACAAACTATGAAATGCACTTTAAAACATGTTGAGACCTCAGTTTATAGCAATTGTAGATTTATTGGTCAGAGCCTTACACTGTACATAAAGTCAGGGTCTCGTACTGAATATGTGACGGTGAACTGAGATTTTGAGGGTGTTTTTTTGATTCTTACACTTTGAAAACGGCACCAGGTAGCTTTGCATGCTGGTTGCCCCAAACACAGATGTTCCCATGTGTCTTCTCTGGATAGTGTGTTTGCCTTTTATCACAGGTAGGTACATACTATACACTAGTCAGTGACCACCTGGCAGCAACATTTATTTCAATAGACGGGATGAATTTACATTATCTATAACATGGTGCCCTGTGTAGCTCCTTGAAGAAGTACTGTATTAGAGGAAACAAAGTGGATGCGCTAAGGTACCGGTTAAGCAGCTACAGCAGGACAGGAGAGAGGCTGGACTCCTTTGATCTCTAGAGCCTTGTTGAACTGCACATCCATGGTCTTTGAAGCCTTGGTGATCTTCAGGTTCCTCAAACAACCTCTGAAAGATGTGCTGGTAGAGAGCGCTGCCTGACGAACTCCATCTAAGAGGGTAATAAAACAGAGACATGTCACCCCACAGTGTGTTTCTGTTTGTGCAGTAAGGTACAACGTATACATATTTCTATGTATGCGCAAGTATTATTTCATGTGTTCAGAAGGCAGTCATACCAGGATATCCCCCGACATAGATGGGGTCATTGGTGTCACATGTGTTGGAGCGTGCGTTAGGGCTCTCTGCTTGGCTCTCCTTCCCGTCGACCACCAGCTCCACCCTGTGGCGAAGCTTGTTGGCAGTGATAGAGTGCCACTGGCCATCGCAGAAGCCCTCGCCCTCAGGCATGTGCTCGGCTGTGATTCGTCCAGCTCCGTTGTCAACGTGGAAGAGCAGCTATGGAAAGGAAATAAATTCTTCAAATATAGCTTTATTGCATTATCAGTCTATAGGTATCCATTTAGATTTGTATCTGTATTTTTCTCATTGTATCTAAATACTGCATATACTATCTGCAATCTGCATCATAAAAGTTTAAAATACATTATACGGAATAGTTTGACTTTAGGAAGTACACTTATTTTCTGGCGGAGAGTTAGATGAGAAGATCAATACAGTACCACTCACAACTGTCTGTTAGCTTAGCACAAAGAATGGATAAATGTAGCTAGCCTGGCTCTGTTCAGCCATAACTAAATCAGCTTACCCGCACCTCTAAAGCTCACTAATCAACATGTTATTCTGTATCCCTTTGTTTAATCCGTCCAAAACCTCAAGTGCAAAAATGACAATTTGCCATTTTAGGAAGGATTATGTGCCACATCTTCTGCTGGTTTCCTGGCAACACCTAACAACATAAACCCTGGTAAAATGGCAAGTTGTTGTTTTTTACATGGTGGTTTACATGTGATTTTTGTAAGGATTAAACAAACAAGATGTAGTGCGCTTAAGGGGTGCTGGTAAGCAAACTTTGTTGTGGTTGAACAGAGCCAGGCTAACTGTTTCCCTGTTTCCAGTCTTTAGGCCTCAATATTGTGTGGTATTGAACTTAGGTATGTACCTTGCCCTGGACAATCTCCAGTCCGAGTCCATCGTTGGCTTGGTTACTTATGGCAAAAAGCACTCCATTGGTTTTGCTGGTTCTGAACTCTAATGCAATTGACACATCTAGACCCACCCTGTAAGAAGAGACTAGAGAGAGGGAGAGATTGGTATTCACCTTTTATAACATGAAACGGTCAAGTTTCTGAAGAAAATTTGGTAACACTTTACAACACGGTACACAGAGGTGTGAGTAGTTACTAAGGAACAAATCAGGAACAATCTGATTACTCAGATGGAGGACTAAGATCATTCACTAGAGAACTTACTGGGAGATACACTATTAATGAAATCAGGTAATGATTACTTAATATCTGTGAATCAACATACTGACCACTTTGAGTCATTTCTGATTAACGCATCATACTAAGTAATCCCTGATTCCTTCATGATAAAGACAAATAGCTGCATAGTTTTTACTCGTCACGTGAATTTAAAAACTCCATAGCGACTTGTCAAAATCATGAAGTAATAAGGGATTACTTAGAACAAAAACTCTATTCAGTCCTCCATTCAGGAGTTATTGACTAACTACTTATTAACGATTCATTAGTTATCAGGTCATTCCTTAGTAGCTACTCACAATTTTGTGTGCTGTGATGCTGTATTATGTGTAACGTTTTCTTCCTGAATTAAACTAGACTGTTGCTGGGGTTACACTAGATGGTTTGTAGGTCACTGTTAGGTTGTTGCTAGACACTCACAACTACATACAGTAACTAACCCCATATTAGGCAAACAAGATTTCACAACTAATGTTTACATTTCACAACCATACAAGCATGCAAGTGGCTTGTCCGTGTCTGGTCTCACCTGCTTTCAGGAAGCCAGTGCCGTCAAAATAGGTGCCTGTCTCAGTAGCAACAAAGCACCTCCCTACCATGTGACTAGAAGTGGGCGTGGCCATATTCAATTTAAAGTCCTCAATGACTTCAGAGCGACCTAGGCAAAGAGGAGGAGGAGAGGGGTTAAATAATTGGAGGGAAAATCTAAATGCCTACTTTGTAGTGTTATTAAATATTTAAGAAACAAGTGACAATCCTAACCCAATTATTGATGGTTTCATTGAGTGTGTAACATGTAACATATGTACAGTCATACATACAGTACAAATTCATTACCTGTGGCAGCTGCCTTGGTGCTTACAGGGCCTCCCACCATCTTAAAGTTACGGATACATCCATTGATACTGTAGAGAATCTGGGAACAAAGAAAGAACATTTGGGTTCAATCTAACAAAATAATTACTCATAACCATTAACCAACAATCCCTCCAATGTCAGTATTCAGGTGTAACTGCAAATCATGTCGACCGATATCCACTTTCAGGGAAACAGGCCACAAGTCCGAAGAGGACTAACATTGGACATCTTAAATAAACTCTTCTTAGTTGATTGTTACATTAGAAATTGAATGAAACTAGTTGAATTGAAGAACAAAATAGAAATATAGCATGAAAAGACTTGTTACTTTTGTTAATAAAAAAAAAAAAAGTTTTTCTTTGTTGTTTTTTTTTTACCGGTCCTATTCTCTTGGATGTGTAGTTTTTTGGTAATCCACCAACATACAGTACTCCCACCACATCTAACAGGTCAGCCTGGTAAGAAGAAGATTCATTATTAATAAAACAATCCTTTTAAAAACATGATTGACAAATGCAACAAATACAATCTGAGGTGTATTACTGGATTATTTGTCTTCAATTTTTCACTGTTCTTATTACTAGTCTACCATGTAATTTACTTGTATGTGCAGTTACATAGATACATAGAGAATAAGTGATTACAATAGAAAAAAAAATAACGTACCTTCTTCGGACTGATCATCTGTTTACTGTATCGCCCATCAACCATAAGTAGACCTCTCTGCTTGTTACGACTCACACGGATCTGAGAGGAAAAATAAAGGAGATGCAGAGAGGAATGAAAGAAGTACTGTCCTTTCACAGTATCAGAAACTACATGTTTTGGATATACAAACAAATGTTGCCTTTGTGTACCGTCACTTGAAATTAAGATAACACTGTAACAAAGTGGCTAATTCCTCTGTAAAGTGCGACTTTCTGTGAAAAATCCAGGACCAAATGTTCTGGATTCCAGAAAGCAAGGAAGCTGTGGCTTAAGAAATAGTGAAATTACAGCAGCTTTATGTCTAAAACAGACATATGTGTATATGCCACATATAAAAGCGAAGACCCGAATTGCCATTGAACCTCTAAAAATATCAGTAAATTAAAACTGTTTCTAATAAACACGTATTCATAAAGATTCTAAGAATCATTTCAGAAAACTCTTAATTTAGCTTAAAAACTTTTACGTAGGAGTCTTAGCTTAGGAGCGTTCAGGGACTGATCTGAGAGCAACTCTGAGCAAGGAAAAGACAAAAACTTTCATCTTAGTGAGAAGGCGGGGTTGACCCCGTTGCTATGTATGACACAATCTTTTGAAGACTGTGATTGGTTGGTTGTCCAAGAAGGAAAAAAAGAGTGATTTTAAGTATAGGTTCTATTCTAAGCATTCACTTTGGAAATTACATGCGTAATATTTCCTATTTCTGATAATATTTCTGATGATTCTCACACACAAACACACACACATTATATGTGTATATAGATCCTGTTTTTATTTACCATGCTGTTAATTTCCTATAAGGTATATGATTGGCTTAGAATGATAAAAATTGATTGCTGGCATGTCTATTTAAGTGATGGTTTTAATGTATCAAACATGGAATCAAAACCAAGAAGGGCGAGAAAGCCCAACTGGACAGAGGAACAGTCTTTACTGTTAGCCCAGTTAGTGGATGAACACAAGGCCAATCTAAAAGGAAAATTCGGGCCGGGTGTCACAGCACGGGGCAAGAAGCAGACGTGGGAGCGTATAGCACAAACTATTAACGGTTCAATCCCCCTGCAACCCATTTTCCCAGTTGCCAAATATCGTAATGTAATGATTACTTTCATTTCTGGCGCTATGGCATTCCTGCGCTGTGTTGGAGATGTTAGCGCGTCTGTAATAACATCAGTCACGAACATGATCCCTGCACGATCTAATCTATAACATCTGATTAATCATCCATTCATCCATTGTCCGCAACACATTTCTTCTCCCTCTTCGTCTTTCTGCCATTTTCTCCTCTACTAAAGAAACTCTTAAGCCTTTTAAAAGTCCTCGTCCGTGCTCCTAACAAATTTGACCTTAAGACCTCTTTTAAGGGTTAAGATGCTTTCTGAATTACATTTTTCTTT